CTTACAATTATATGGACGTCGGGTCCGCGCTAAAAAGTGTCCGAACTTATAGGGCGTTAAAATCGTATACAGAGCGTCATTCACGCTTTAGTCTTCGTTTGTTCGACTGACAGCGAAGCAAGCAAAATTAGACAGTACTGCGATGACATTACAATTTAAATTCAACGTTTTAGCTTTTTCATATTCCTTTACATGTCACTACGTTTAAATAGGTTGACTTGGGACATTTTTTTTCGTGTTTTATTTTTTTAGTTTTAAACACATTCTGTACAACAAGTCTATTTCGGTTTCGTGGGTTAATTAGTATGGCTTTTTTAATGGATGTTAATACTACTTAAAAAATATATATATTATATTATTAACTTCATGTATACGTATCATAAAAATTAAATGTGCTCTTTAATATAAAAAAAGAGAAAAGATATGTGGTTCGTAATTCTTTGCCGGATTTAATTTCAGAAAACACTGCGTAGAGGGTATACAAAAGTTCATTGGTATCAATATACATATACTAAATAATATGAAAGTTAGTTTTCAAGAGATCAAAGACGCCAAATTGGATGGCGAAACATGACGGCACAGTGAAACACAACTAAGCAGTAAAGAACCCACCGAAAGAGTGCTTTTTTTTAATGATGCATTAGCTGCAGCTTAAGATACTTAATACGTTTAAGAGATATACCTACATATTATGATATTTTACAGTCATAAACATCATATAAAATGAAAACACAATATTAAAAAGTGGAATCATTATTAAATCCCTTTCGCACAAAGAAAGATTATTTTTCCCACTTTAAAATAACATGTCAATGTCTTCAATGTGAAAACAGGGCCGTGATGCACATTAGCAAATATCAGTAGAATACACCGTGCTGAAAGCCCACGATATTCCATTCAAATTATCCCAAATTGCTGCTCTGCTTTCGAAGAGTCGCACGTGATCCTCATTGCAAATATAGTGGATTTGACTTACCAAGATCCGACAAGCAGATGCTCCCCTAATGCTTTTATTTAATTAACTTTTTATTTTTTGAACAACAAAAGACAACACAGAAAGAGCTGGAAACCGGACCAAAAACAAAAAATGACACTGGTGCTTTTTACTCCAATGGAATAATTAGATACAAAGAATATCCACATATTAGAGTCAATCTTAACCATGGGACCTGTAACGAGCCCGAAACGTTGGTTTGTTTGAAAAAACAAATAAACGCGATTTAGATTGGAAAATGTAGTTTCTTTTCTAATGTATGTATATATATCACAATCGCGAAAAACTAATAACTCGATAAGAATGAATATTTTAGTCCTAGTCCAAGAATAGTTTAGTTGTTCCACCTGCTTAATATATATAATTGAAGCATTGGGTGTAACAAGAGCGTATCACGTAAAAGTGATATTCGAGAAAATTGAAAATAAAGTTTTAATGTCTTATATCTTTTTAATATTTATAGTATGACGACAGAATCATCTTCAGGATGAATTCGCTCGTTTCAGATGTTGTTTCTTAACATTAAAAATAAGTTTTTCCAAACTGCAAGTGGTAACGTGTTCGAAATTCAAACACACATTCATAATCCATGCAACAAGGGCGGAGCGCCACCTTCTAAGTGAATGAAACTTACGCCATCTAGAAGGGAGATCGATATTAGTTTTTGTCACAAGATAGTAGATAATGTTTTACATATCAAAACATTTTAATGTTATTGCGTTTTGACGCAATAACATCAAAACGGGCTTTGGGTGCCGAATGCCCTTGTTGTTCCCAATGCTTCAATTACTTGAAACAATAGTAAAGCGTAAACAGTTATATAATACGTCAAATATGCGCACCAATTACTGGGTCTCTAACTAGGGAATTCCCTTTATCATTAGCACTAGAGTAACGAAAATCTGTAGAAAGAAAAGGGTTTCCTGACTTTAGCAGGAATATATATTTTGGAAATATGTCTTTTTGTACGTAATCACAGTAACTTCTTTACTAAAATATCTAATGTACACACCGTCAACGTAAGAAATAAGGACCGTCTTGTCGTCCCTAAAATAAACAGCACGATCTTTGACCGCAGCACCTATGTAACAGCGATCAGAATTTATAACAGACTTCCAATGGAAATACTAACTGCCTCCGTGGCCGAACGGTTACCATGCCGGACTGCCACGCAGAGGTCGCAGGTTCGATTCCAGGGCCGGGAGAAATGTTTATATGGCTTACATTTATTTCTCTCGTGAGTTTGGGTGTAATTTGTGGTTGTCTATGTGTGTGTCCATGGCACCCGCGACACAGGGTTTCTCTAGTGCGGGGCTATGTTGAGTGTGTGCGTTATTATTTATTAATGGAAATGAAATGTTTAAATGGTGATAAATTTAAAGCTTGTTTAAAAAAATGGTTTATTGACAAAGTTTTTACAATCTTAACGAATTTTATATAAAGACGTCAAATATTGAACAATTGTATAATTAACTTAATTATATTTTTTATTTTTGACATTTTTTATTAATTGAATTGTAATTTTAAGACATTGTACGCCTGATTTGGGTAAGAATTGTAGATCTAATCACTTGTAAGTAACACCTGTATTTTACCAATTCATACAATAAATGTTTCTGATTTCTGATTTCTGAAACCAATCCCGGCGGACTTCAAAGAACCCCCAGACCGGAACCAATTAAAAAAAATTGTTTTCTAAATTGATCTCCCCGGGACCTCGTCGTGTTTTTACGTACTATTTACATATTATGAGTTTTGTTGATTTATTGTCTTTATGTGCAATATGCTACTTTGTATCATTGCCTGTATTATTGTCGTTTATTAGATGATATATTATAACATAGATAATATACTTGTATTCGTATGGCATGATTGACATGTTGTTTGCCCTTTTTCCTGTGCATGATCTCGATTTAAAAATACGTATTACATGGACACAAATTGTGATACGTAATTATAAAAAGCAGAGCGTATTTTAATGGTCGTTTTGTTAGATTGGATATGAATGACAAATAAATTAATAAATTAACGATGAAAGGGTGATTGAGCTGTACGAATGAATGACTAAACAAAATAACGCTTAAGTTAATTTTATTGATGATAAACACATTTTTAACAAAAACACACGAGGATTGTAATAAATCTGTGACAGGTTTCTTGCGTGTTTGTTGAATTTATTGCAAACAATTTTGTAAATTATTGCACGACTGCGGCAGATAGACCTTAATCTACAATGGTCCGTAATCAAATGCTACAATGGAAAGAACTTAATATATATTTTTTACCTAACTCTGCTGTTCTCTGTTAGAGTATCTACATCATCATTATCAACCCTTTATATGTTCACTGCTGGGCATGGGAAGTCTTCTAAGAGAAGGGTATTGGTCATAACCTGCCACACAGGCTCAATGTGTGATGGAGACTAACACAAATTTTCCAAGGGGTGTAAACTTTCTTCGACATGCCGATTAATCACGATTTTTTTGTTAGCGAGACATTATTACTACTAAACATTCACAAACGCACGTTATTCAGAAAGTAAAGTACATGCCAACACGGGGATTTGAAACATCGACCTATCGAAAGAGAGGCAATTGTGCTCCGACTGAGGTACCACAACCGCTCCTCTAAGATTAGAAGCAACACTTGACTTTATTTTTTGTAAAGTGAGTCTTGTCAATGCAGAATTCAGTATTATAAACAGGCTTCTACTCTCTCCCATAAGAACATCCCTTCAAAATATCGGTCCCGAAATGGCGAGCACTTTGGCCGGTACGTGACCAGAATGGGAAATAAATCGCCCCTATTATTGCAGCTGATTTATGTGCCGTAATCAAGTGCTAAGGAGGTTCGAGGTGTGAGGGACCGCTGACTTTGGGATATTGCTTCTGATAGTTTTCATACAGTTAGCCAGTTCTTAAACCCCTTTTATTGTTATGAAAGGAAAACAATTCTTGCATTCCGTATCAGAGAGAGAGTGTGCTATAAGTCTTAGTCGGAGTGTCTTCTGGGGAGAAGTTTTAAATCCATTATCTAGCATGTTGTCCCAACTTTTATTTGTGTTTGAAACCTATTAGCGCCTGTCGAATATTGGAAAAATTTATAAAAGACAGTGAAGCCAAGGCAAGGCGAGTAATTAAACTTCCAATAATTTAATTTCTTATTAAATTTGCATCCAGAGCTCAGATTGAAACCAGTTACGCAAGCGAAATAAATAAACGAAGCATATTTTCCAAAAAACTGGTTAATTAAAATCGATTTACTTGAGTAAGGCTGCTACGATAATAAGACTAAATTTTCTCTTGAACTGTACGTTGCTAGCATAGCATGGTCGATATGGTTCATACTTATTAAATTTACAAATTGAATTAGTTAAGAATTTAAATTTACCTGAATCAGGTAGATGTAGTTAATAATGCTATTGATACCATATTGGATGCCAATGTGAACCTTACGATAGAGGTTTCCAAAGTGTGTCTGAATGCGGTACAAGTTCATATTAGGACCGCGCCAACAAATCCGGACTAGTGCTTAGAGAAAGCTCTACTATGAGCAGAAAAACCGTCTTACACTTTTATGTCTGCTTCTTCAATAAAAAGTTACCTTCCATGTCCACAGATCTTACTGCGAGCGAGTATTCCGCGACTGTCGCTTGCAAACGTGCTATGTGCAGTCGGCTGCGTATCCTGGAGTGTACCCTCGGAATCTACACTGCAGGTAATGTCAATAATATTTCTTACTTCGGTAGCGCCATGGCCGAAAGTGAGTCTTAGACATCAGACATCAGGTTCCTTCACTCCCTCCGGTTTTAAACTTGCTCCTGCCATTCGCCAATTCCCTTAGGTATGTCTGATGTCGCCCGATTGGTCAGCATCCTTTTAGTCAACCCAAGTACGCTCATTTCAAAACAGGGCCCTTTTTCTTTCATACCACGTGTGCGGAGTCTCGCCGCTGTAACCTCTTCAACAGCATTCCATGTCTCTTAATTTTCAACGTTTTTCCTCTTTTATGAAAGATACATTCAACCCATACCGTAGGGGCTGTCATTGATCAGCGGATTCTTCCTAATCCCTTTTAAACTTGTTGATTAAGTCCCTCCAGTAAGTATTTTCTCTGCTCCTTTACTACTTATTAAAGCAGGTGCGGTTCCATTTATACGTGTTTCGTTAAAAGAGCGACCGGTACAATTTTTCGCTCCGCTACGCTCCAATACGAGGTCATTAACCCTCAATGGCATTAGCGAGGCTTAACTCTGCCTTGAAGTGTCCATCCCATTTAATGGATAATATAAACTCGTTAAATTCACCGACTAACCTAACCCACTAACTTTTATGTTGTAATGGTCGCATCCCAAGTCAAAACACCATGTTTCAAAATGTACAGGGTAAATGAAAAGACAGGACCCTTGCCTCGGGATCTTGGACTTTTGGTGAGATGGAAGATAACCTCGTGCACCGAATTATCATAATGCAGAACCGTCAAATATTACTGAGACACTAACGGGCCGTTTGTCATTGTGACTACCAGTTGGCAGCTAAACCGGAGGCCCGCTACAATACGTTATTATTTGTAAAGTATGTGTGAAAATCCAAAATTTAAGATAATGTGTTCCGTAACATAATTAATTTAACTACAAAGACCAGCGACAAATAATAGTCGGGTTATTTTTGGCGTGCCATACTTTATAAAATGAGACTACGTGTTTCTGTTTCTACGAAGCTTGAGTGTAAATATATTATCATTTTAATAGATACAGCTTCTTTAGCAACTCCCAAAGTGTATATGTTTCTCATCTCAGCGTTATAAATATTGGGTGACAACCACGGAAGAATATGTGGTCTGTGGTGACAACAGTATTTATACAAAGCTGTGAAAGGCCAATAGAAAAGGATTTTTCCACTCTATATCACTGTATCACAATTAGTGGCTTTGTCGTTTACGTTTAAATAAAAGTTATCAATTTATAACCATACTTTGCTGGCAGGTACCACCTGAATACCCGACTGCCGTACATAAAGCTATACATCGAGAACGAGGAGTTCAATATCGACGGGCAGCGCTGCGAGAACATCATGACCTGCCCTATGAGACCCATCACTTCTGGTAAGGATCATTAATTACTAGATTAATGGCCATATATTTATCGTGGAACGACTACTTAATAGTAAAATATTGATTGTTCTACTAAGGGATAACAACCGACAATTACTGTTAATTGGTTTCGAATGTGGTTATTATTCATTAATTTATTAGAAATACACCACATAATACGCAATGAAACTATTATAGCGATAAATGAAGTACGTAGAAAAGATGGTAAGTAAAATACAAAATATATAAATACGTACAGATCATATAGCTCAGTCTATGTACATGAAGATTTTCATAAAATTTTCCAAAGACATAAATCATACATTTTTGTGTACTTTCTAAAAATGAACTGTCTCCCGAACCGTCATCGTTACCTCCGGGAGTTCCCCGCGAACTTGTGACGTCTTATCTCGAGACATAAAAAGGTAGACTCGGTAACATCAACCGCAATCCCGCGAGAGACATATTTCGCGAGAATTTTCAAGCATTTCCGGCTTATTTTTGTCAACTCTAATTTGATTCACGAGTGTTTAGCCGAAGCTTTTGTTCTGCTTATCTATTAGGTGTAGTTTGTATATAGGGAGCGTAGTTAATAAGATTATGACTAATGTGGTTAAAGAGAAGCAATGGTCTACTTATCCAAACTTGCGGCTTGGTTATTTATTGTCATGAAAACTTCGTCGGTATTTTCTTGTTAATGTTCTTATTTTCATAACTTTCATCGTTGTCTGAAATGCTTCCACTCTAATGTGTCTGTTTATTTAACTCCAGTGACCAATCTTACGTATCGTTGGTAATAAAAAAGGTAGACTCGCCTAGAAGTATGCTCCCTTGAGAGCCATCGCTCGCGAGAATCACACAACTTTGTACTATCCGTCTTAGCGCAAACTTATTTCATAGTATTCTCTTGTTTCTGTCTATTTTTCCGAGAAACTTAACTTAACTTACGGTAAGAGAAAAGTCGGCTTACGAGTTGTAATGTATTCAAAAACTAATATCAAATGGAGGTTGTATTGACAAAAAAAGGTTAGATGTTTTTTCTTTGTTTCAAAAACACAAGAAACATTTGAAATCAATTTGGATATTCCAAACGATAAAACGAAATCAATTTCGTCTTGAATAGATGTAGTGTATCTTTAACGTTTCATTACGGCATTTCGAAACGAAACTCATCCTAAATATCTAGTGCGACATATAAAGTAGCCGTAAGTATACTGAGAAACAATAAATTCTCATCAATATTACAAGCGAACGCACTTTTCTGCGTCGATTCCGCCGCCTCAACTCTCAACTTCGACTAGATGATAAATGCTCACAAAGCGAATCAATATTACATACATGCGTTGTGACGCTTCCAAGAAATTTCTATTACGGCCATGTGCTGTGATATCATGATCACTCGACTTGTAAGCGTGTTTTCAATTATCAAAAGTGGAATTCGTTCATAGTAGGTAATGCTTGACAGTATCTATGTTAATGTATGTGCATAAGTTGGAAACTGTTGAAGATAACATGAATAGTATTCATTTCATAGTCCGAGAAACTAATTCCAACATTCTTGAGAAAGTTGGAATTGTTATGCCAGTATACTTTGAAAGTGATTGGACACGTATTATTATAGGACATGGTATACAGATGTAATGTGCCTGATAACTTGTATGTTATTTTACGAAACACAAGTGATCAATTAAGTGTACGGTGAGTCGCCACGCAGGAATTCATTTCTTCGCTCCTTCCTCGTTCTGATTTATCAATATTGAGTGCTCTCGAACCGATCTCTAGCGGTTATTGAAATGGCCCCATTTATTTTTTCTCGTAGTCTCATAATAGGATTTCTCTGATTTACGAGAAAGTAATTTTCTCGGTACTCTCGGGGTTTGTTGTGATGGCTTATTAACGAGAAGTATGAGGAAATTATTGGAGAAATGTCTATTCTTTAAAAATAAAGACACTTATTGTGGATCAACAGGGTTCATAAAGATCCAATGTAATGTTTAGTTTTTAAATATCTCCATGTACTATAAATATGCAGGAACGATGGTGGCCGTCGATAATTAGTTGATTTCAATTTGAAATTAATGTTAGACTCTGTTGCACTTGCTTCAGCCAATATTTATATGTGACTCTTACATAATATACCTACAGTTTATGAAATCCATCATTAGAGCTAGCTATCAATTTACCTTTAATGTGTTATAACAATGGCGACCATCCATAAAAATATTCCCTTGCCCACACATCATATTTCAACACCAAAACAAAACAGGCAATATCTCAGCCAATCCATGGCGAACAATAACGCTAAACAGCCCTCTAAAATTCCCCATTGTAATATTTTCGCGCATAAGGTACGCTCGATTTATGGCCTCGTAAATAACTCGCATCCAATAATGGCCGGTAAATCTACCTGCGCCTGCGCGATATTAAATTCTTAGCAACTGTCAAAATTTGCTGCACCCTTGTTACGAAAGTGCCGGAGGGAGGTGAACGTCTAGAAAAATAATAATGTCGTAATATCTGTGGCGTCATGATTTAGTATATTACTTTAATATTTTCCGGGAACAACATTGCGATAGGTCATAACAAAGTTCAAATGACAACGCCCGTGGCATTTAGGGCGCCTTTTAATCAGACGCTCACAGAATCGCTTCAAGGCACCACTGATCTGCAACCACGCCACTACTAATTTCCATACAACATTTAAAGGCGTAGTTGCAGTGCCACTGTCAGTGTGACATGCGCGCGCAATTACTGAAGCACCACAGACGCCACTGCAGCACTTCTATAAGCGTCTAATTTGAAGACGCTCAACTAGCTAAAACAAATCAATATAGACAAAATATTTCACGAGATTGATCGACACTCTATAATGAACTTTCATAAAATTTCATAGCCCACAACGAAATACAAAATAATGATCGGTCTTAAATATCAACATTGTTAGTAAGTGTCCAAGTTGCGGGCCCTCGTTAAACGAGAAGCGAAATGTTTCAAAAATAAGTTTGAATACTCGCTGTATTTTCTTGGAACAGAAGAATGTCATGAGATCATTGACCTGTGGGCTATTGAAAATAAAACTTTAGTTTCTGAAATAAACAACTAAGTATTTTATAATTATTAATACAAAGATCGAACACTCAGAAAAACTTCCTTCGATCCGGTCGGATTCGAACCGACGTCTTCTTGCATACCGTGCCAGACGCTAGACCAACTAAGCCACGGAACGAACCAACGGACCTCACGAATTTTTCTATGTGCTTGCGTCGTGTCTTTGTATTTGGTTTTTCTTTATATTTTTTAGTCGTAGCGCCATCTATGAGAAATCTATGAAAGGTTTATCACCCAGTTAGTACCTTTACAGCTACCAGTCCAAAAAAAATTGAATATCAATTCAATTCAATAAAAATTTAATTAACTAAGTATTTTGCCTGAGGAAGACACTATCGATCATCCGAGATTTGGTTTGCCTGAAATTCTGAAATGAGCTTTAAAAAATATTTATTGTCGCATTTTACGCTCCTCTCGCACCTTTACTCTTTAGTGCCCTGCTCACTCTTTAAATTCTTCATTAACTTCTACAATATTGTTATTGTTACCTGTGAATAAACGAGCAAAGTAAACCGAAAATCTCACCCACCAACTCGTTCGTTTCTTCCACAATTGCAGTCTTAATATGGGATCGAACTGAAATAAATGAACTTAAAGGATAAACCAGTAGAAGTTGTTTGGTATCATTTACTGCATTTGCCTTTAAATAAAATTCTTTTCAGTCAAGTTACCCTTACTCCATATAATATTTAGAGCACTCTCTGTTTGATATGACTTTTAAGATGTTTTGTCATCACAGCTTGCCTAGAGAAGATTGCTACCCAACAAGAAGCAGAGGATATTCGTTGAATAACAAAGTAGGTTCGTGAAGTATCGCAAACAACAAAGTATCAAATTAATAGCTTTTACAGCGGCGTCTGTTCAGGAATATTCAAGAGAGTAAATAAAAGAGCATTAAGATAGAGTGAAATACCAATTTGCCTGCCCGAAACTGCTTGTAAATGCCTTAAATGATAATCTTCAACGGCTGTCTTTGTACAAGATGAAACATGAATGGTGTTACTTTCTTTCTTACAGTTGTATATCAAGAAGGTATTATACAAACAATAATCGTTGTACGTTTAAAACCCCTTTCACTATACTACACCATACACTACAAATTTTTACACAGTTAAATTTGTATGAAACTAAATAGAAGAAAAACAAAAATTTACAACTTAATAGTAGGACTAGGGCTGAATTAAAAAGGAAGAAATTGTTATTAATGTATTATTGGTTAGGCAGCGTAGCTAAGTATCCAATTCCCGACTAGAATAAATTCATCTCATCACTCCGGAACATGTTCTAGTGTAACAGATTACTGTCGCTGTGGGTATTTACTCACTGAACGACTCAAAAAATGTCGTTTTGTTTTTTAACATTAATGGTATTCTACCGGAGTACTGAGCCTCCATCCTATTTCAGGCTCAGATAACTGTCCATACGACTACATCAAGATCTACGACGGCAAGGACGAGTCTGCAGCCGTGATCGGTACCTTCTGTGGTATGGGCAAGTTTCCCTACTCCATCATCGGGACTTCACAAGATCTGTTTGTCGAATTCGTTAGCTCACCTGCAGGTAAATTATTGCTTACTGCTTTTGTCATCATAATCACCATCTCAGCCAAGACATCCACAGCTGAATCTAGGGCTGCCCCAAAGGTTGCATTATGGCGACCGGTTTTGCTCTGCTTTTATATTACTATTCCTTACCATTCTAGCTTGACTACTACTAAAAAGCTTTAATTGCCTCCGTGACCGAAAGGTTACTATGCTGGACTGCCACGTAGAAGTCCCGGGTTCGATTCCCGAGCCGGGAGAAATATTTGTATGGCCTACGTTTATTTTTATCGTGAATTTGGATGTAATTTGTGGTTCTCTATGTATGTCCATGACCGCCGCGATACAGGGTTTGCCTAGTGCGGGGCTATGAGTAATAAATTCAAAATAGCAAGTTTTCTCTTTATTGTGGAATAATATTAAGAAAAATCATATTATTTAATTAAATTATTGTTAAAGGTCCGCTCCTCAACACCGGTTTCCATTTCAACGTAGGCAACTGGCCGGGTCACGTGGAAGCACCAGGCTCTCGCGTAGGAACCTGCGATTGGGTGCTCACAGCCGAGTCGTTAAAGAAATCTGGAGACACTGAGGGCATTTTCTTGTCTGTTGCGCATTGGTATCCGCCGCATACATCTTGCACTTATCTGATGCAGGGATTTGCCGGGCAAGTTGTAAGGCTGTACTTCCCCAGGTAAGAAAAATATGTGTCATTAATGACTGCAAACGCTACTGAATGAAAGCACCTTCTAAAACGTTTTATTGTCAACAGCTTCCGAATCAACCGCATAGAATCCCCAATAGTGCCGTGGACGGGCGACTGCGGCGAGTCCCTTACTCTGTACGACGCTCCACGACCGGACGACGCGCGCATCATCAAGACCTTCTGTGACACCTTCAGCAGACCCATGGAGAAGCATGACTTTGTATCGACGGGAAACGCCATGTTTGTCAGATTTGAAAGCAAAACAGGGAGCTACAGCGGGTGAGGATTAATTAATCAGGCATTGCATTGCAAGTATTTGGACAGGCGTGTCGCTCACCAGCAGGCGCACGACTTGTTCGTCCCTTCACTTGGTATCATGAAAAGGGAAAAAATGAATACATATAGAGGAGAACTTTTTAGTCTCAATCACTCTTTACTAAAATAATGACACTTGGCAGCACAAAGTTATCAAAAAAGATTACGTTATTTATGCAAACATAGTTAACCCGCAATTTTTACGTTATACTTTCGTAGGCTTAGGACCGTCAAATGCTTCTTTTAGAATGTAATCCATTATTAATCGAATACTAATTAGTAATATTACTTATCACTTACTGTCGTGCTCGCGTAACTACCTACTCCACGACTCAAACAAAAATGGAGTCTGTATGATATACCTAATGCCTGGAAAAAAATTGGACAGTAACTAAAGTCACTTACAAAATAAAAGTTAAAAAAAAACAAAATACATTAGTTAAAAGATGAACGGTCCAATTGAAAAAAAAGAGTGTCTTATAGTATATTGATTCCATTTCATTGCGTGATCCCTAATTTGTTAGTCAGATATATTATATTATTGTCCAATGACACATTGGTTGGCTGTCTTAGAGAAGCTAAAACTAGCATTTGTTTCAGTTCATCCCTTTATTACTGGGCGCACTATGACTTTTTTAACAATACGCGTTTCGGAGAGCCTGTGCCGGGTACAGCCTGCGATGAGGTCATTGCCTCGTGGAAGCAACGAGCTGGTCGTCTTCGGTCCCCGCTCAATACACTGGTGTACAAACAAGCTCCGCCCGGGGAAGACGTCCATTGCTTGTACAGATTTGTGACGGACAAGAGGATTTACGCACGTGTTATTTTGACCATTTTGAGCGTCAATTTCAAGGTAATTTTTGAAGCGTAAACAATTCCCCATAATTTGACGCAAAAATTTGGATAATCTGCTGGTTTGTTAGAAAGTTTAAGAGATTTTATAAGAAGTAACTTTTTAAGATTATTTCCGAGCCACTTCAAGTAACTGGGAAAGTCTTAAAGTCCTACTGGATAGGATAAAGTTTTAATTGGTTCTCCAAAAATTGAAAGTTCAAAAAATCTTATTAACTCGTTCAATTTGTTGCAGGAGCACCCGTACACTCCAGTGTCCTGTCAAAATTGCTATGAAGATCGCGCAGACAAATTAATTATTTGGGAACCAAATTCTGGTGGTAAATTCACGAATTCCTCAATCGGAGTGAGTACGACACCATTGCCGCTTCACTTTGCTGTGCAAAGATCTCTTGGATCCTGTCTATGCGCCAAACATGCGAATACCGTGTCTCGCGCTAAGCCCTACAGAATTGTATCATCAGGGGAGTCACTAAACCTCCAACTGATAGTTGACAACGCTCACGCTGCCGCATCCTACTTCAAAAACCCTTCTCCACTCTTTGAAGCCAGGTACGAGTTTGTTCATGGACCTCTCTGTGGGCCAGCTGTTTTAGCAGCAGCTTCTGATGGTGAAATCGTTTATCCGCATTTAGAAGCTTTGGGTTATACTGAACCACCGAAAAGAATACAGTGTATTTGGGATTTAGAGATTGAAGAAAAGAGAGACATTTGGCTGCACTTCGATAGTATAAAATTTGCTTCTCGTCATTGTGACGATGGTAATATCCAGATCTATCTGCCAGGAAGACTTGAACCTTACTATTCAGTATGTGGTGAGAATGTATCGTTGGCTCGAGAATTGCCAATTCTATCAGCGGGAGAACTTGGATTCGAGTCTTTAGACGATCCTTTGGTGATGGAAAAGGAAAAAACACGATCACTTCGAATTGTTTTTATTGGTAGTGCGTCACCAGCCGGTGCTGCTTTTAAAATTGCCTGGACTGGTCTATATCATTTGCCAAAAAACTCTGATGGAAGTCTCATGACTTCACGTCTTACGGACGGTAGCTCCAAATCTTCAGATTCAGGAGTAGGTTGTGACTTTATCTGTCCTGGTGAGGAAGCTCTTTGCATCCCAGCGAGACTGATTTGCAATGGCGTAGTGAACTGTCCAAATGTGACAACTAGCGAAAGAAAATTCTGGACACCTGAAGAAAGGAGAGCTAGAGAGGTGTACTCTGAAGATAGTCTCCGCCGGTTAGGATATTTGGATACATTGGATGGTATACAGATTAGCAAGTTGAATGATGAGTCACCTGAGCTTTGCGCCAAGGCAACAAATGTCGGGAGTGGTAATTGGACTGCTACTGCTTTGGGGGCTGGTTTTGCAGTCCTGTTCGCCATTTGCGCCTTGACGGCTGCGTGGCGTCTCTGCTGCCCGAAGAGGTCTCCAGACGAGGAGAGCCTGGACTACTGACATGAGGCCCGCGGCGGCCCACACGGCCCGCCGTCCACTTACTCTCGCTCTCTGTCAAGAGACTTGCCGCTGGACTGGAGTCCACATTGACAGACGCTATACTGAGCGCCCGAACCCTCCTGCGTAACCAATTTACAAAACCGTATCGGTCAAGGTAAGGTTTTTTAAGGATCTGGAAAATATTAAATAACAATCGAAGCTTGTCTTCAGTTTATGGCCGGTCTGTTCAATATATGACAAAACAATGTACAACTAGCGAATATTTCAAATAAAAAATCATATCTTGACTGCATATAAAGTTGATACCCTACCCTTGCATGAAATCCATAGCACAACCTAAAGCACATTTAGATTCTCCGACGTCGTCGTCTTAACACTTTTAATAACCTATTTTAGTCCACACAACTACTAATATATTTAAAGGCGCTCAATTTTGTAATTAATGTACATACCCATAACTTGTATTTAATGGTAAATGATGCTTCGAACGAATCATAGAACGAAGTGATAGTAGCCAAACTGTTAAGAGTTATCAATTAAGAGCTAAGTATGGCACAGTTTTGTATAATGGATGTATCATGAAATTTCTATACTGCCATTTACATGATTTAGAAATGACTCAAAAATACTACAATTTGTTTTGTCTTTGATATTTACCTAATAGGCATTTCCCACTGCACTATCTTCATTATGGTTTTCTAATAAAATAACAATTTTAGTAAATATCTATGGAAATGTCGTCAATGTCCTTGAAGTCCAGAACTGCAAAGGCTCAAATATACCGGCCTTAGCCAGTGCTACAGTTTTGGGCCTTTTGCGGCAAAGTTTTGTACTTTTAAAACAGACAGTTAAAGGTAGATTTTTTCCTTTTCTTCTACATTACGCATATTTAGTAATTGTTGGCAACTTTCGCATGTAAATTTTTGTAGTTTACATGAATCCAAATTGGTAGTCGTGATCTTGCGATGAATGCTCTTCTAACTAATATAATACATGATAAATGAACCTTACAAGTGATAAATGAGGTTACTTAATCTGAACGAAACAAAAAAAAATAGGTTTGTATCAAACGCACATTTATTGTAATGTAAAAAAGTTCACAATTGTATGAAACAATAATAATAAATTACTACGGAATGGTTGTTGTTGTTGAGCAGAGCTAGGGTTCTGTGAACATTGTAAGAATGAGGTAAGATATACGAGAATGGATGAGTAAGGAAGAAATAGGACACTTGTTAAGGGTAGTTGACCCGATCCTCACTTAGCCTACGAGTAATTGTAATATAGTGTAGATTGTTGGGAAAATGTGGCAAGTCACAAACAAATATTGTAAAATGTAACATCGATTAAGAAATTAGCAAAGGTATACAATAAATAAAATCCCTGCATCCCTGGGAGCCTGAGACGAGCTTCCAGTTCGTAACTTACCTATTTCTGCCGCTAAGCAGTAATGTCAATGTAATTACTGTGTTGCGGTTTTGAAAGGTAAGAGTGCTGGTGAAATTACTGGCACACCCCACAGATCTTTGTGATTTCAAGCTCTGAGTGGCACTGCAACTGCTATTAACAGGCGTGTTGCTCACCAGCAGGCGCACGACGTGTTCGCCCGCTCACTTGGTATCATAAAAAAACTTCTTGGTTCTAGGAGCTATTTCTTTTGTAATCCGTCTCATAAACATATTCGATATAAGTTCGACTTGGTACGTTTTCCTCGCAGCAAACTTCGATTCGCCTGAATAAAACCACCAAAGTCGTCTATTTAATGTAAATATTACAACTAGCTATAAGATGTTAACGATGTAAGGCTATGAAAAAAAATCCTCTTAATACGACTTTATCTTACTGCGTGCAATGAAATTATTCGTTTAAAAAACGCACTCTGTTAGTTTGGATTATGTCAAAGCGATATAATTTATATTGCACAATTAGTTATTTAGACTTGCAGTGTTTAATTATTTATAACTTTGTGTGCAGTGCCACTGCCTCATATTATTATGTACTTTTGATAACGCTCAATGCTTTAGCAATACGTCGAAGTAAAATCAAAAAGAAACCAAAATAAAAGTAGAAAGATTTCAAGTTTTTGTTTATAATAAAAAGAAGTCTCTTACACATAATGTTTTCATTGTTAAGTTGATGTAGTCGAAATGCAACATTTGAAACCACAGACTTTAATTTGTCTCATACTTTTAATTACCTCTTTCCTCCTTTTCTTAAAAGAGATTTTCGTAAATGTAAAAATAACATTGTGGCAAATGACATGAACCCTGTAAATGATATTGAAAAGTAAATGTCAATTATCTTTTTACAATATTAATTTATCGCTGGGTTTTTCATTGGACTCCGCTACTTTGATGTGGATAAATGAATATTTATTTTCCGCAATTTGAAACTGAAGTTTCGTTGTTGATTTAACGTTGAAATGGGAAAAACTTACTTTGTACCTCATTTAAGTTTATTGTTACATATTGATGAATAACACAAAGATATTCGGCTTATTATTTTATGAAATTGGCTACCGTTTGTAACTTTCCGTGTAAGTTATCACCAATGATGTTCATTATGTGAAAATATTTAATACTTATGTGATAGTTATCAGATGAGACGAAACCGAATCTCCTATGTCGCTGTAGCCCTCGAAGCCCTCTTCATGCGAACATATCGCATCGTTATTAACAAAGCGATGTAATTCTAAAATGAACATTTTTCAGAAACTTACTAAACCAGATTTTTTAATAACGTACATGCTGTCATTACTACTAGCCAGGGACATCCGTCCTAAACAATTACTGTCAAATACTCGACCAAATTAAGACGCACGATGCGAATGAAGCTTCGTACTTGGCAATAAAAACAATCGGGGCTATGGAAATCATACATACTATCATTCTGAAGGTGAATCAACTTGCTGGCCGCAGCGATGTAGGGCTGCACCAGCACTGACCGTGCCACCCTTACAATAAGAACACTCATTGGAATTTAGTCAAAGTTTATCCTAAAATATCCACAACATGACACAGACTGCTTTTGTTATATTGTACGAAATTTAATTTTATAGAAACCATGTTTCATTGTATTTAGTGGATAACAACCAGAAATGTTAAAAATATATTTTGTACAAAATAGTATGTTTTTTATTTATTTGTGTGACCTTTCTTAACAAAAATTGAATTGCCAGACCGGCTGTCGTCATGGCGCTGTTTTATACAGCGTGTCCGAATGAAAATTATTTCATCTTGCATATTATAACAGGAATTTATACGCGAAATTATATTTGAAATTTACTAGGAGCTTTTCGGTGAAGGAAATCATCGTCAGGAAACCTGCAGATTTCTGCTAAACAATATAATGATGTGGGTGAGGTTCCCAACCCACATTGGGCCTTCTTGGGAACTACAGCCCAAACCTCTCATTGTGAGAGGAGGCCGGTGCCCAGTGGGACTATGTATGTGGGCTAACTATTATTATGCCTCCATTATATTTGCATATTATAGGTATAATAAAGCTTAAATTGAAATAAAAACTCCTGATACAAAGAAATGTATACTAAAAATTCAATAAAGTTACGTAATCCATAAGCTAACAACTCAAAGAAACCAATTTAATGAGCATAAACACAATAGTTCTATTGTAGTGTAGTGTCTGCCGCCAAGCAATACGTGAGCATTACTGCGAGCCGGTTTTTAAGGGTAAGGGTGCTGGTGAAATTACAGGCACATGGGACTTTTGAACTTAGTCTCAGGGTGAAAGGCGCAGTGGCGGTGCTCTTAAGGTCTGAATATAAAGTTTTGAATGGCTGCAAATATTATGAACAGGCGTGTCGCTTACCAACAGCCGCGCGACTTGTTCGTCCCGTCCCTTGGTATTATAAAGAAAAGAATTGTAAATAGTTGAGGCGTTGGGTCGCCTGCAGCCCATCCTGATTAAGTTATCATATTATAGTTATGTCGATCGGGTCAGTGGAGTAAAGTAAATATTCACTTTATGACTGAGATTCTTATCCTCCTCTTACTGGAGAAAGAGCTGATGTTCTTCAAACAGATATTCTACAAACATAGCTGAGAACCATCCCGATTAAATTAGCCTTCAAATAAAAAAACCGCCTCCAAATCAGTTCACCCTTTTCGGAGCTACAATGCCTCAGCAGACACACGGACACACAGACAAAGCTTCAAACTTATACCTCCCCTCTTTGTGCGTCGTCGGGGGGTTAATCAAAAAAATACCTATGCAACTTTAACCCAACTTTGCCGCAGTAGTATGCCGCCGCGATAAAGCTATTATAAACCGACATTTTAAAATTTTGTCACAATAGCGAACATGGCGAGCACTGTGACATCACATTTTTATGTCATGATGACTGCAAAAGATACACACAGTGCCAAACATGGCTGCAAGGACACGGTTAACGTAAAAATTGAGCGCGACGGACGAAATGAAAAGACATTTTTTGTTTTATCGTTTTCACGGTGATGATTAAACGATAAAGTTGCGTATATCGTTACTTACGCAACTTTATATCGTTGTCCTTGTTTTTAAAAATGTATAATAATTAATTACCAAATAAGCAAACTTAGATTAATTTATCAACTGAATTAAATATTATCACGGGGAGGTTTATCACACATATTCGGCCATGCCACGGGCACAAGTCCTGTTCAGTCCGACGTCTGTCCGAAACAATATCTGTCAAATAAGTAATACCCTAATAAGCAGCGTAGGACTGATCGTCGTGGAGATCGTGGGGGGAGACCTATATCCAGCAGTGGGCGTCTTATGGCTGAATGATGAAGTAATAATACACGACCAGATAGATTTTGTTTTTTATTTTATAAATAAGTTACATCTACAGTGGTACATATGCTCTTAGATAACAGTGTAACTTTACATTAGTATTGTAGTATTGTACTTATATGTATTATATAATTCTATCATATCGTATCATATTATACTACCTATTACAGACGTACACAGCATCTAATATAATAAAATAATAATAAACAACAAAGAACTTATGAAATTACTGGGGAAGCGATTCGAGAATGTTATGTTTAAAAACATTACGGGAAGAATAAAAAATGCTTATATCTATTAGAACGGTAATTTGGTTGTAAATAGGGGATAATGTAGGTAGTGAAATGTTAGCTAAGTTAGTCCGGCGTCGTGGTATATTAAATATTTTCGCTATTTCATGACGGGGGTGTTTCTAAGGTAATGCTAATACCTGTAGAGCCTTACCTGTTTCCACGTTCGTTCCGTGTTCCGGTTTTGAAAGGTGAAATTACAGGCACTTGGGACTTGACAACTTATGTCTCAGAGTAGCTAACGGGCTCTTTGTGATTTGACAACTTATGTCTCAGATCTTTGTGATTTAAAGCACCGACTGAGTAATCTTTTGAGTCACGCCTCAGGAAACTCAGCATTTGTACCGCTCTTATTGTAATGTTATCTATATGGGTATTACATTTTAGCCCACTCTCTAGTGTAACTCATAAGTCCCTTACTTCATCTACTTTCTTTAATATCACACAGTTAATATTGTATTGTATAAGATTACGCTCGGTAATAAATCTTACAGTGTGACACTTTTGCGCGTTCAGTGACGTGTCATATTTGACTTGTATTTTAATTTGGTACGTATTACTTATTTGACTCCACAGTAATTGTTTTGGACGGACAGCGGACGGAGAACGATAATAGACCCCCAGAATAGACTCCGAATGAGGACGCCAAATAAAATAATTAAGTATCAAAAGAAAAACGTAAGTAAACATTTCTCAAAGCGTATTTACCATATCAGTTTGCAAACAGCGGGATCACATCAAGTACTCTCCCATTTTTCACCTCCACGTAAGCCCCGTGCGCCGCTGTGGCAAATATTAGCCCACCTGCCAGTATGCCAATTTATCTGTTTTATTTATTCCATCGTTCAAAGAGAGTCTCAGCCGCAGTATTGATTAACATTTGTAATCGTTTATTTGTTAATCAGGCTTCCCTATAAAAAGACCACAAACCGTGCATGCCCCGCCTGTATATA